TCTAAGCTCACTCTGTGAAAACCACCACCTCTTGCCACGTTGGATGATGACCCGAAGACCATTTTACTTACATGGTCTAACTGCAGAGTGCAGTGGGCATCTGGAGTTTTAGATTGTGGGGATTCTAAGGATTTGAAGACCTCAGGATTAAAAAATTCTGGGCTATTCAGATTTGAAATTTGTCCCTGCTCCCGGGGCTTGAGGGTTTGGAAGGGGAGAGCTAAGGGTTTTGCGGGCATCATCTTGGGACTCAAGGTAACTCCTTCCAATGCAGGTGTAGTTATGTCCATTAAAGACAAAGCGGCCGAAAGTCCAGCGTTTAAGGAACTTTCAAGTCTGGCAGCAGTTGGCTGGTAGAAGTGGGATTGGAACCCTGACTGGCTGACCCCAGAATTCCTGATCTTGATCTTGAACTGCTGCTTTGTATCTTTAAATTCTAAACGCCTCCCTGTGGCCTAGAGCAATTTCACATCAGTCTTTTCCTGTCCATCCATTCCAGCCATTGGCCTTTTGGCTCAAATATACCAAACTCATTCTTGCCCCAGGACCTTTGCACACTTTTTCCCTCTCAGCCTTTCTCTAGATTTCCACATGGCTGTCTCTTTTTTCCCCCCCTTTTCTCTTTTTTTTAACGGGGGGGTGGCAGAGGTAGAGGGAGAGAGAGAATCTCAAGCAGGTTCCATGCCCAGCAGGAACCCACCACATCTCATGACCCTGAGATCACGACCTGAACCGAAATCAAGAGTCGGCTGCTTAGGCAACTGAGCCACCCAGGCGTCCCTGCCTCTCCCCTGCCTCTTTTTTATGCTTCAGGCCTCACCTCAGAGAAGCCTCCTTGACCGTAAAATAGCCCCTTTTCCATCATGCCCATCGTCTTACTCTGCTTTATTTTTTTAATTTTTTTTATTTTTTTAAAGATTTTACTTATTTATTTGACAGAGAGAGACACAGCAAGAGAGGGAACACAAGCAAGGGGAGTGGGAAAGGGAGAAGCAGGCTCCCCGCTCAGCGGGGAGCCTGATGTGGGACTCGATCCCAGGACCCTGGGATCATGACCTGAGCCGAAGGCAGATGCTTAACCACTGAGCCACCCAGGTGCCCCACTCTGCTTTATTTTTATTTATAACATGTCTCACTTGTTGATTCAGTTACTCCTCTATTGTTCTGTCTCCCTCACCAGAATGTGACTCTCTTCCTAGTAACTGACACAGACCAGGGACTCAGAAAATATTTGTTGAATAAGTACACACATCCCGAAACCAACTGAGAGAAGGTGAAGCGGGGAGGTGTGCAGGGGTGAGTGCAACTTGCACAGTCTTCTCTCCAAACTGCAGGCTGCTGTCTCCTAATTGTCCAGGAAGAAAGCCAAGGCTCAGAAAATGAGAGGCAGAGGAATGCCCAGCCCAAGCAGCAGCTCAGTGATAACAGCCCCACTGGAGAGCCCCATGTTTCTGCTTCCTGCGCCCTTCCTCAGGGGGCACACGGTGGGATTGTCCAGGGGGCCAGATGGCTGCTATCACCACCTCTACTTACCTGATACGAAGTCTGCAGACTGTGAGGTCAGCAGACGGGCCGGCCGCAGGCCAGTTTGGCCCAGGGGAGCCCAGACGAGGGCTGCCTCACCAGCGAGAGCTTTCCGAGCTAGAAGCTGATAGCACCCCCGCCACGGGGTTTCAACCTTGGCTGCACATGGGAACCTGATGCCTGCGCCCCTCTCCCAGAGGTTCAGATGTAGTTGCAACCTGGATGTTGGGATTTGCAAAAGTCCCTAGGAATTATCTACTGCTGAGGAACAAACATCACAAAGCTCAGTGGCTTCAGACAACAATAACCCTTTTTCTCCCACCATCTCTCTTATGGTTTCGTTGGATAAGAACTGAGGAGGGGCTTGGCTTGGCAGTTCTGTCTCAGAACCTCTCATGATGCCTCAGCTGAAGCCTTGACAGGCTGCCTCCCCTGGGACCAGAAAGTTCACACCCAGGAACTGCCCTTGGTCTCTAGTTCACCCCAGTGCCTGCCTCTCAAACCACCTCAAGGCCTCCAGAGGGCCAGGTTCCACCTGTCAAAACAAAATACAGCCATGGGGGGTGGGGTGGGCACAGAAGATAGGGAGCTGGTATCTGAGGCTGATTTCATCTCAGTTTCGAGTTGAGTGGAGAAAACACTGCCAAGGTCAGGGTGCTGGAGGGGGCACTGAGGCAGCTGCAGGCCTGCAGATGGGGCGAGATGTTATTGTTGCTCACCATAAGGACCATCTAGCTCCCTTTTATCTGGGCACTCTAATGACAGCTTGGCACCTTCTTATTCTTGTGGGCTCTCCCTCTGCACTCCCACGTGGGAAGGACTGGGATGATTTTAATCACTGTGAGCTGGTACCAGGGGCTTAGCAAATCCTCGAAGACAGGGAGCATTGCCAATATGCTGGTGGCATGTGAAGATGCTCAGAGTTCTAGAATCTGAGTGTGCCCAAATTAGGTCTCTTCCTGTGGCCTTATTTGGAGTCCGGGGGACGTTCTCTCTGCCCTCTGTCTGCCTAAGGGAATACGGCTCAGGATTTTTGTATTATCCTGTTTGTTTTAAGCTCCAGGGCGTGTAGGGCAGAGGCAAGTTTTGAAGACACAAGGGTCAGCAGGACCTTTATCCAAGCATCTCAAATATCTCCCAACCCCTGATTAAAGTTGTACATCTCAGAGAAGAATCCAACCATGACACCACTGTTGTCATTCCCATTTTAATGACAGGGAAGCTAAGGTCTGGCAGGCTCCCTAGCAGTATGCTCTCAGGGTCATATGCTTCTGTATTTAAACCTCGCTCTGTTAAAACCACCATCTCCTTCCATTCCAACGCCGCCTCATCTCAGATGATGTTGAAGTGGGTATGAGCATTTGAGGGGTTTGGCTAAGGGGACCTTGACATTTACTGTGGGTTTAGTGGTTTTATTTACGTCGTTTCCAGTCACTTTTGTGAAAAGTTATTACCAACTGGTGATGACTTCCAGGAATACTCCTACCTAGCACACTGACGTGGGTTGTGACATCAGCCACCACTCACACTGTCACATGAAAGTGCAGGGGGTCAGAGGTCATATCTCAATATAGAAATATGAATGGCTTTACAGTGCCCAATGCCGCCAGTCTGTAGTAGAGGAGAGGTATGAAATGTATACATCGAGCCAGAACAAGCTTGTCTGTGAAAATTATTATGGAGGTATGCCAATTATGTAATTCACAGAAATAATGTTATTTTTCTGGATTTTGCAATATTTGTGGAATTTGCCATTTGTTGAGGTTTCGTTTATCTTTCTAGCCAAATAACACTTTATTACCTAATTTTATATTTGTAATTTTGTAGTTCTTTTCTTAAACAAATCTCCCTAAATTGTGTAAGCCTGAGGAAGTGCACAGTCTGGATCTGCCGCTGCTCAGTTTTCTCTGTGTCTTTTGCCATCACAGGATCCTTCTTGCCTTTTCCTCACTGCTCCTGCCAACACATGGTGTACAGAGCAACATAACAGAACGGCTCAGAGGACTCCTGCTGCATCCAGACAAACCTTAGTGTTTTCATTCATAAAATGAGAATAATAGAATCTCTCCCCCCACATAGTAATGAAGTCAAGTGAGAAAATACATGTAAAGCCTTGAGCAGTCCGGTCTAGCAGAGGGCAGAGTTAGCGCCACATCTGATATTTAGCTGGTCCTCATGGATATAGTCAGACTCCCTGTTTATGACGGTATCTACTCTGATTTGATTGGTGCCCATGCGGGAATGTGCAATCATTGTTAGCTATTGATATGTTACTAGTCCCTCTCCCACACCAGCCCAAGGTATGTATATAGTAAGTGCTCAATCATTGACAATCCAATCAAAGAATGAAAGTCACCATCTGGATTAGAAAACAGAGATTGGCTCCAAATTCAACAATGCCCTAGACCCAAACAGTGACTCACAACTATGAAATTTCCTCATCTCAAAGGGTACTTAAAGTTAACTTATTCCGATCCTTTTTAAAACTGTGTTTTTTTTTTCTTGACATATTTAAGTGTTGGAAATTGGAAAATCCACAAAAGCACAGAAAAGAAATGAACTGCTATTATAAATGGCTATACACAAATACATTGATGTTACAATTATGCATTTAATACATAGTTGTGTGTACATAGTGCTTTGAAACATACTTTTAAAAAGCTTTCTTTACATTTTCCTCATACTTTAAATGTCTTTAACTACATCATTTTTAATGACTGCATAACATTCCTCATCAGGAAGTGGGGATAATTAAAGGTACCTATCTCAAAGGGTTATGCCATGAGCACCGACAAGAGTTATGTCATGTGAAGCTACCTGGCATGTAAAAAGCTCAATAAACTTAGCTCTTCCTCAGGATGGATTTATATAACCCATCTTCTTTTGCTGAGCATTGGAGTTATTTCCATTATCTTTCTATGTTAAATAACTCTGGGCTATATTAATCTTTGTTCATATCTTTGGTCATTTCCTTAGTAAAGTTCAGGACTGCTAGGTATGCACATTTTACAACTTCCCACTGTGCAGTTAGGGGAACAGAGAGGGAAAGGGGCTAGCCCGGGCTCATACAGCGAGCTGCAAAGTCGGACCTGGAGACTAGCTGGGGACCCTAAATGGTGCGTCATCCTGTTGGGGACCAGGAGAAAGTCCTGGTCAAGGGAAAAAACTAGGCTGCTGAGCTGCGGCGGCGCGGGAAGAACAGGCCGGCGGGGCTGAGCGGGGACTGAGCTGGGCGCCGGGGCGGGGCGTTCACTCGCTGGGCCGAAGCTAAGCGGTCGCCTGGCAACCCGGGCGGCGCGGCGTTCGAACGGAAGCGAGGAACCAATCAGGATGTCCGGGGCAAACCATTCCGGCGACGGGGGTGGGGGGCAGAGCGACGAGCTCACTTCCCCTTCCTCTGCGCCTCTGGGACCTCCGCTCTGGTGGGGGCCTGGGGACAGTCAGGTGCCCCCGTCCATCTCGGGTGCGCACAGCAGCCCCGAAGAGGCCCCTGCGGGTCCGCAGCAGTTCCGAAACGCGTTGGGCGTGGCCATTCCCAGCCCGGGTCCGAGCTGTCAGCCTCTCCAAGGCCCGCCCGGGAGGAGCCAGGACTCGCCTAGCGCGGGCTCCAGGTGAGCGGGCGGGTGGTCTGGGGCGCGAGCCCGGGTCTGGGGGGCTCCGTTCACCGAGCGCCTGCTGTAGGCGTCCTCCCCGCGTCGTACGTGCGGGGAGGCGGTGGTACCCCATTTCACTGAGGAAAACGCTGAGGGGCAGAGAGGCAAGTGTCCTAGCCCAGCGAGGTCTGCCGGAGAATCCAATTCAGGTCCTTCAGGTCTCCACCTCGAAGTCTCCAGTCTGGGTAGATCTAGATTTGTCTTGAGAGGCCCAGACACGCAACTGGTGGTCAGCTTCTCAGCCTCTTAGCCGGAAGGCTGCTAAGCCCAGGAGCCCTGGCTGGATCATTTCCCTCCGGCCCCGCTCCCGCACCGTCCTCTGGGTGCCCCTTCTGGGCAGCTGTCTTCTCTTCTCCAGAACGCCAGAGGTTGGACTCAGGCTCGTTTGGGGTCCTTCTGCCCACGGGGTCCAGACAGTAGTGCTGTCTCTCTCAGAGGGCTGTTCTGGGGGGATCTGGCAGGACGGACATTAATGGGCTAGATGCTAGGTGGGCAGCAGGTGCTCTGGCCCTGGAGCCGCTTTTAGATTCTTGGAAATCTGCCCCAGGTTGGGGGAATGGGTAGAGGCAGCCACTCAACCTGAAGCCACTAGTCATCAGAGACTTTGGAGTTGAGGATGGGGTGCGACCCCTTCGGCTGGAGCATCTGACCTAGACCAGGCCCTGCCTCCTGGGGATGCTCTGGGAACTCAGAAAGAAAATAAGTCTTTCATTTATTCTTTCAACAAATATTTATTGACTTCATATGCCCTGCCCTCCCCCTTGTCTATTTTGTTTCTCTCGGTGGCATTTACCCATCTGATGTCCTATGTATTTCACTTATTAGGGAGTTGATTATCTTCCTCAACTGGAATGTGATAGGAGGAGGGGCTAGGGTGAGGCAAGTGAGGCCCTCGCCTCCAGGGCAAAATTGAGGGGTGCCAAAACCTCTAATCAAGATAACTAAAGCTCACAGTTATTATTTTTTAAAAAGATTTATTTTAGAGAGAGAGAGAGAAACAGAGACAGAGTGTGCGAAAGGGAGGAGGGGCACAGGGAGAGGGGAGCCCAACCCTGGGGAAGGGGGCACGATCCCAGGACCCTGAGATCATGACCTGAACAGAAACCAAGACTTGGTCGCTCAACCAACTGGGCCACCCAGGTGATTGACAGTTCTTCACTATTCGCTGTGTGTTCTGCTGGTGGAGATCAACTCACATAGCCTCTGTGGAACACAGTACAGCGTCTCTGTCACGATCACAAGCACGTCCCCAGCCCAGCTGTCCCACTTGTCGGCAACACGATGTAGGTGCAGAGACGTCACAGGGTGGTTTGTAATAGGGCAGGTCTGGACGTACACTAAGTGGTCATCAGCAGGGGCTGGCGGCTCTTTATGTACTGATGTGCCTCCACGTGTATTATTGAACAACCTATATTATTAAGTATATTAATAACATATTAGAATTAATAATATATTAACATTATTAAAACAACATGTATTACTGGGTAAAAAGAGCAAGGTGAAAACAGTACACACAGCGTGTTGCCATACCTGTAAAAAAATAGAATATATGCCCATTATTGCTTGTATCTGCCTAAAATCTCCCTAGAAGGACACACAATTGTCTGGGTATAGTGGCGCCTGCAGGGAGGGGAACTGGGTGGCTGGGGACAGGAGTGGGAAGGAGTTTATTTTTACTTCCTTCTCTTTATAGTTTTTGAATTTTGAGTCACAGGCATATAGCACCTGGTTGAAAAAATTAGATATATATAAATCATTACAGAATATATATTTAGTCATAAGATCACTGCCTTGTCTGTGATCTGTCCTTGACTTGCCGTGTGACTTTGGGCAAGTTTCTTCACATCTCCGGGCCAAGATAAGATGGTGAGCTCAGGCCTGGGAAGGAGGCAGTCCGGGACAGGAAGTGGACTTGCCCGTGAGTCTGCCCCAACCTCCACCTTCCCCATCCTTGTGAGCCGGGCCCTTCCCTGAGGCGATACATGTGGTCTCTCTGTGTCTCCATTGCAAGTCCCTTTGTCCTCATTTTGCAACTTCAGGTACAAACCGAGGCACAGAAAGTTGGGTTGGCGGAGTCGGGCTGTCCATTGGCCGATAGGACATCAGTGCTTTAGGTGCCTGTGCCCACAGCCCTCCTTCAGCCCACTGAGATGTGTGCACGGGTGCCCTGGGCAAGGCTGACTGCTGGCAGGCCAGGGCATGAGTGTCTGGGGAGACTCCAGAAATAGCATGGGGCCTGGCGTGGCCCTGGAGGATGCCCAGCTGGGTGTCTCTGACCCGGACAGCTGGGCTGAAATCGAGCTGGGCTGCCCTATTGGCCGGCCCCCTCCCTGCTGCCTGGAGCCTTCCTGATCCTCCTCTGGGGCAGGTGAGGGCCTCCCTGTCTCCCCCCAAGTCAGGGCCTGGCTTCTACTGAAGAGAAAGAGAGAAGCAGGTGGAAGGAAGGGGTGGGGTAGGGGTGCAGAATGTCATGAAAATTCTAAACATGGAAACCACACCTCTTGCCCCCTCAGCGAAGAATAAACAATCACTAACACCTCCTGAGCACTTACTATGTGCCATGTACTTTATAAGCATGCACTCATTTAATTCCCTCAATTCTATGATGTCAGGTAGTTACTGCTGCTATTTTTTCCACCTTACAAAGGGAAACTGAATGCAAGAGAAGTTTAGTAACTTGGACCAGGTCATCCAGAGCAGGAATGTGAATCTGGGGGTTCTGACTCCAGACCATGGGCTCTCTTTTTCTTTTTTTGGAAAAAAATATATAACATAAAATTGAGTATTTTATCCATTTGTAAGGTACAGTTCAGTGGCATGAAGTATATTTACACTGTGCACAAACCTCACCACCATCCACCTCCAGAATTTCTTCATCTTCCTAAATGGGAACTCCATACCCATTAAACACCAGCTCCCCATTTTCTCCTCCCCCCAGTCCCTGGGAAGCACCTTTCTACTTTCTGTTTCTGTGGATTTGACTGCTCTGGGTACCTCATGTAAATGAAATCATATAATATTTGCCCTTTTTTTTCTCAATATTTGTCCTTCTGCATCTGACTTATTTCATTTAGTGTAATGTCTTCGAGGTTCACCCATGTTGTAGCAGATGTCAGAACCTCCTTGCTTATAAAGGCTAAATAATATTCCATCCTATGTTCATCTGTCCATCTGTCTATGGACACTTGGTTGCTTCCACCTTTGGGCTATTGTGAATAGTACTATTATGAACATTGGGGTACAATATCTGTTCAAGTCCTTGGTTTCAGTTCTTTTGTGTATATACCCAGGAGTAGGATTGCTGGGTCCTATGGTAATGCCTTTTAAATTTTTCCTAAGTGCTATACTGTTTCCACCGTGGCCGCGCCATCTTATATTCCCACCCACAGGGCACAAGGATTCCAGTTTCTTCATATCCTCACCAAAACTTGATATTTTTTTGTGGTTTTTGGGTTTTTTTCCCCTTGCTTGCTTGTTGTGATATTGGTTATCTTGATGGATGTGACATGTTATCTCACTGTGGTTTGGCTTTACGTGTCCCTAATGATGCATGATGCTGAGCATCTTTCCGTGTGCCTATTGGCCCTTTGTACACTTTCTTTGAGGAAATGTCTGTTGAAGTGGCCCTGCGTGCTTAGATTTGTAAACTCTGAGAGAAGTGGGTCAACATTCTGGGTGGTGAAGTCCTCACCCAGGAGCTGGGCACCGCTGAGTCACATTCTGGTGGCATTTGTCATGCACAGGCTGGGAGAGAGGCACTGTTACAAGTCCTGTTTTACAGTTGGGGAAACCGAGGCCTGGGAAAGTTGACTATTTTACCCAAGGTCTCATAGCTAATCATGGGCGGAGCTGGATTTGAACCCCAGTAGGCTGGTCCCAGAGTCCATGCTTCAGAGGTGGCCGTGGGGCTGGAGTGGGGAAGGGCACTGTAGGAGCAGACCCCTCATGTGCAAAGGTTTGGACGTGATGTCTCCGGAGAAAAAATGGCTCATCTAGAAGTGGCCAGGGTCCAGCTTGAATGGGGGAGACTTGAGGTTGGAGGGGAGTGGGGAGAGAGGAGGGAGAACCCCTGCGGTGGGACTGGGGGTTGGGAGGAGGCTTGGTGCTGAAGGGCCTTAGTCTTTGAGGTGGCCTGGGTTCCAGTCCTGCCACTTAGTCAACGGTGTGCCCTGCACACACCTGTGTGCTTGGTCCCTGGAGGATGAAAATACAGAAATAGGAAATGAGGGATTGATAAGTGAATATCTAAAATGACAGTGTGGGATGAATGTGTGGAAGGGAACAACCAGGTGAGAGAGTTGGCGGGAGCCTCAGGGTAGTCAGGGAGGCCTCTCTGAGGAGGTGAGACCTGAAGGAGGTGAGCTAAGAGGTTCTAAGCAGAGAACAGATGGTACAAAGGCCCTGAGGCAGGAAAGACCTTGGTGTGTTTGGGAACAGCAGGGAGGGCTTTGTGGCTGGAGCAGAAAAGCCTGGAGTTCAGTGGGAGTGGAGGGCAGGGACTGGATCCTGGAAGGCCTGAGGACCAAGTGGAGAGTTTGGGATTTATTCTAAGGTGATCTGGAGCCATAAGAGATCTAATTTCTGTTGGGAAAATATTGCCATCTTGCTCCCATTTTACAACTGAGGAATCTGAGACCCCGGCCCACAGCCAGGAATGCTTCCTAAGGTGGCTTCTCCCTCTGGGGCCCAGAGAAGGAGGCTATAGAGTCTTTTGGTGAGTGGTTCCTGGGTGCAAATCCTGGCTCTGCCATTTACCAGCTACGTGACCTCTGGCAAGTGGCCCCACCTCTCTGTGCCTCAGTTTTCTCAACTGTAAAATGAGTGTAATAGGAGTACCTCAGGGTGAGTGGAGGATTCAATGAGTCAACATATATAAAGAGCTTCGAACAGTGCCAGGTACAGAGAAAGCACTTAGAAAATTTCTTCCTGTTATATTATGAAATGTTATTGTTTCCTGCTTTTACTACTATTATTGCCTAACTGAGCCCTCCCTCCCATCTTACGCCCTCCCCCCATTGTTGCCTCAGTAGAGGGCCAGGCAGAGGGACCCAGCAGGAACATTGTGGGAATGGTGGTCTTTAGGCTGGCCTCCCTCATTCCCCTAAAATCAGGCTCCAGGGCCTGGAGGAGGCCTCAGAGCTGACTCACTCTCAGGGGCAGGAGAGTTGTTCTCTGAGTCACTTCCTGTCCCCTCATAGCCCTCCATCCCAATCTGGGTGCAGCCCCCACTGGGCACAGACATGGAACTGGGACCTCTTTGCCTTCCCAGAGCTTAGGCCCGACGCTAGTGGGCACTTCATTCTCTGGGCCTCAGGATCCCAATGGAAACGTCCAATCAAGTGTGCCACCTGAAGTGACATGATAGGGCTTGGGTTGGCAGAGGAGACAATCATGTCCCTCCCAAGGATTCCTTCCTGCAGTGTTGCAGTCTTCTCATCTGTAAAATGGGGATTAAATAGTTCCTCCCCTATGGGAGGCGGGGATGTCCGGACACTTACATAAGTACAGTGCCCGGAACTCAAAAATTCTAGTTATTCTTATTACTATTGTTGCCGTTGTTACTAAATGTTCACAGCCTGCACAGGGTTTCTATAGGCACTCTCAGACGGTAAGAACTCACACTGACCTGGCCTGGAAGGTGAGACTCTCCTCAGTGGCAGAAGGGAGGGCCAGAGGGGTCCAGCAACGTGCTCAGGGACACACAGGTAGAAAGGGTGGCACTAAGGCTTGGTCTAGAGGGAAAGTGCCCAGGTCGGACTCCTCAGGGTGACTTTGGGCAACTGGTTCAGCCTGTCTCAGCCTCAGGATTTCATTAGTCAAATGCGGATAATAATAGAGTTCACCTCATAGGGGTTGTTGGGAAGATTAAAATGGGTTAATTAAAACCAGGAACAGCACTTTCTCGTGCCCGGCACAGTAGACATTAACGCGGGCACTGTGGCTGTGGGGGAGGGGGCCTCAGTTTTGCCATCTCCAAGATGGGTGCCCTTGCAGGCCGCCGGAACTGCGGGTGTGGACGGCCCCGGCTCGCGGGACAGCTTCCTGGGGTAGGTCGGGGCGGCTGGGACCGGGTCCCCGCGCCGAGGGGAGCCCACTGCCGGCGCGCCAAGGCTCAGGCTCCCGCCCCTGCCCGGCTTTCGTTCTTCCCTTTCGCTTAATACCTGGGCCGGCGGGTTCACCTGCCGGGGGCCGGCCGCCGGAAGTTGCGCAAACGCGTGTTACCTGAGCTCCCCGTGGGCCGGGCCGGAGGAGCGCTCGGTAGTGGCGAGCGCGCAGCCAGGTATGTGCGGGCGGGTGGCGCCGGGCCGGGGTAGGGGGCTGCCGGGCCAGCCCTCCCTTCTCGGGAAGGCGGGGACAGGGCAGGGGCCCGCCTTCCCGCCGGGAAGAATCCTGCCGTCAGCCCCCTAGTTTAAGAGCCAGGTCGACCCCGGCTCAGAGAGGGGCGGCGAGCGGCCAGAGTCACACAGCGCGCCGGCGGCTCGCGGCCTCCGCCGCCGCTGGGAGTCTTCAAGATCGCCCCGAAGGGGGTTAGGGCAGAAGCCAGAGCGAGCATCTGAGCTCCCCCAACCCCTAAGGCTGTCTCCAGGGAAGCAGGTGGGAAGGGGGTATGGTGACAAGGAGGAAGGCTCACGGTTGCCGCTCTGGGGGCCATTTGTGGGTAGCATTTGAAATACGTGGGTGGGGCGTTGGCGATGAGAGGAGGCCTCAGAGAGGACGGGTCCCACCCGGGGACTGGGACCCCGGCTTTAACTCGCCGGAGCCTCCACACCTCCGTTTGCCCACCTGTGAAATGGGGCTTATCAGATCAGTTTAGGATTAGCCTCTATCACGTGCCTCCTTTGTCTGCGGCTCCGACTCCGACCCGCGGTCCTGAGCGTGCTTAGAGACCCCGCCGGGGTGGGGGTGGGCGCGATCTGGGAGTTGGGTCGTCAGAGTCATGATAAAAACCAAGAGCCCAGTGTTTGGAGCGCAGCCTTTTGGTCAGGTGCTGCGAAAGTCCTCGACCTGTTTTATCTCTCCATCCTCCAGGAGACCTGGAGGCTCAGGTCTATTTTTAACCGCATTTCAGATAAGGAGCCCGAGTGTGCAAGAGGCGCAGCTGCTGGAGCGGGGCGCACAGCGGGCAGGTGGGCGAGCTGGCCAGCGGCCCCCAACCCGGGTTTGGCTCCTTGCGTGTGTCCGGGCGGCGGGGGGAGCCCCTGCGGCCCGCAGGTCGGTGCGAGGGCGCGGGGTTTCTGCCCTGGCCCTGCCCATCTGACCTCCTTCTTCCCTCTGTTTTCCCGGATGGTGCCCGGGAGGGAATCGCCGCCGCCAACGGGTTGGACTGGTTTGGTAGGCGGAGGCCCCGGGGGTGCGGCAGAGTCTAGTTAGCTCGACAGGGCTCAGCGGGGCTGCCTTTCCAATCAGACCCTTCTTGCCTGAGGTCTCCTGGGTGTCGTCCGAGTGGGGCAGCCTTACTTTCCCATCTACTCCATCTCTTCTACCTTGGGAGCAGCTCTGGCTCTGGGCCGGCAGCGCCCAAGGTTCTCTTAACTTGCCATTGCTGCCCCTGCAGAGGCCTCAAACTGGGGGCTAGATTGAGGTGGGGAGAGCAGATCTGTTTGCAAACATGTTTGTTTGCTCCATCCATGCATGTTTTAAAAATTATTATTGGCGGATATGCTGAGATTTAAGACTCTAGAGTGTTCATGCCCATCTGGATTTCCAGCTTCCTAGCACATTCCATACCTACCACCTTGGACCCATATGCCTGCAGTGGGTTGGATGTGTCCCTCTCTGGTTTATCCAAGGTCTGCCCGTTCACATTTCGTCCCCATGGACACTCTAATTCAATAACAATTTATTGAATACCTATTATGTGTCGAAAGCAATGTCCCAAAACAGATTCAGTGAGCAAAACCGACAAACCCCCTGCCTTCATGGAGCCGATATTTTAGGGGAATGAGAAGAACAGAGTGTAAAATGACATAAACGTAATAGATGAGTGAATTAGGCCTCATAGGAATTTGTGTCTTATTTATCGGCTCTGGGACCTAGGATGGTCACTTCTCTAGTTCCAGTTTCTCCAACTATAAAATGAGATGACAGTGACCCTTCTCACAGGCTTGTTGGAGGATTCCAGAAGAGGATGGTGTCAAATGTCTAGCACACAGTAGGGGATCCCTGCCTTCCCACCCCGATGCAGACTCTCCTCCTGTCATTCTGGGTGACCACGTGGGGCTGTCCAGTATAGCTTTCGGCTATGGATGGACATCTCTGATCTGCACTGTCTGCCCTAGTGACCAGTGTAGTGGCCGTCGAGCACTTGAAATGTGGCTAGTGTGACTGAGTGTAAGTTTTCATTTAATTTAAAGCTAAGTTGAGTAGCCATATGTGGCTAGTGGCCATTAAATTAGACAACACAGGTGTAGATGACAAGTCCTTTTGGGAATTACCTAGATAAAGTCCTCCTCTGTCATTTTACAGAAGAGAAGTTTCAGGATTTGGTCTGTAGGTTTTCTTCTAGCCCATCTCTGGGAGAGTTGGCTGGGGACACTTTGTGGCTCTAGCCCTTTCTTGGAAAAAGGATCAGGGCTGGCCTGATGCCTGGGGCACCAGGCCCTGATGCTTAGGTGATCCTGTGGACACTTGTGCACCTGGGTGTGGGCCCCCTTGTCTATGGATGCCCATCCTCTGGCTGCTGGCAGATCCAGGGTCTGCTGGATGCTCTCAAGCAGGGTTGTGTGATTGTGGGCTTTTCTGGCTTCTCTTGGAACAGCATAGCTCAGGGCTGACATTTCTAGCTGACAGGCATCCTTGGATCATTGTGGGCCTGGCACTGAAGTCCCATACTGGAAGCTGATGAGTGTCTGGACTTCACTGGAGTGGGGGATGGAGATTTTCTACACTCCTCCTCCACCAGTTTTATTGCTATGCCTGGGGCCTGGCATGTCTAGACGGGTGAATAGCACGGGACAGCTTCCTGCCTGGGTGGGTAAGGGTGGGAGGTGGTACCAGGTTGTCTGGGGGCAGTCCAGGTAGCGTGTGGGGTTGGAGCCCTTTCTCTGGGTCACCAGGTGCACCAGCACCTCCCTGCTTGGAAGCAAGGGGGCAGAGCCACCAACTTGGTGGGTTAGCTTAATCGTTGAGCTCCCTATCTGCAAAATAGAGCTGTTTTTTTTTTTTTTTAAGGTTTTATTTATTTATTCATGAGAGACAGAGAGAGAGAGAGAGAGAGAAGCAGAGGGAGAAGCAGGCTCCCAGGGAGCCCGATGCGGGACTCGATCCCAGGATCCCGGGATCATGACCTGAGCCGAAGGCAGACGCTTAACCGTCTGAGCCACCCAGGCGCCCCAAAATAGAGCTGTTAAGGGGACCCATTGAGGTTAAGCTGGCTGGTGCCCAGCATATGGCCTGGAGCCCACTTTGCTTCCTTTAAAGCGTGCCTTGTCCTGTCTTTTCTGCCCAGGCTGCTCACGTCTTTCTTTGGCACTTTTTTATTTTCTCTCGGCCTCAGGTGGGCCTGGTCCTCTGAGAAGGGAGGCGGGGTGTGGGTGGAGTCACAGGCCCCTCAGTGGTGGCTTTCTGTCTGCTGATTGGCTCCCTTTGAACCAGGGGCGTGGCTATTACCTTTTAATAGGAAAGGCGTCTTCAGCCCCTTTCAGTCTTGGCTGAGCCTTTGTCTGAGCGTGCTCAGCCTCTTTCTTTCCTCCCCTGTAGCCGTTGCCAGCATCCAGCTGCCAACTTTCTGCCTGGATCTGTCTCCTCATTTCTCCGGTCTCCTCAGACCGAAGCCCTTGGGGTATGTAACAGCCATGCCTGTGGACACACTGACTCCAGGAGCCCGGGACACCTCTGCCCTACCTTTCCGCCTGCGGACCAAAGTCCCCGGCTACCTGCTACGGAGGCCAGCAGATGGTGGAGCCCGGAAACCTAGTGCTGTGGAGCGCCTGGAGGCCGACAAGGCCAAGTACGTCAAGAGCCTGCACGTGGCCAACACCCGCCAGGAACCTGTGCAGCCCCTGCTGTCCAAACAGCCACTCTTCAGCCCTGGGACTCGCCGCACAGTGCTCACACCTAGCCGCCGAGTCCTGCCTGGCCCTGGCCGCCGGCCCCAGCTGGACCTGGACATCCTTAGCAGCCTCATAGACTTGTGTGATAGTCCCGCGTCCCCTGCCGAGGCCAGCCGTACGCCTGGACGGACAGAAGGAGCCCACCAGGCACCCCCAGCCACCCCTCCACGCCCGCCACCAAGTACGGCTGCCGTCCGCCGAGTGGATGTCCGTCCCCTGCCCGCCTCACCTGCCGGGCCCTGCCCATCGCCAGGCACTGCCACCGCCTCCGGCCCAGCCCGGCCCCCAGGTTTGCAGCGCTCCAAGTCGGATTTGAGTGAGCGCTTCTCCAGAGCAGCAGCTGACCTGGAGCGATTTTTTAACTTCTGCGGCCTGGACCCAGAGGAGGCCCGGGGGTTGGGTGTGGCCCACCTGGCGCGGGCCAGCTCAGACATCGTCTCCCTGGCCGGGCCCAGTGGCGGGCCCGGCAGCTCCGAGGGGGACTGCTCGCGCCGCAGCTCTGCCACCGTGGAGGAGCGGGCCCGGGAGCGCGTGCCCTATGGTGTGTCGGTGGTGGAGCGCAACGCCCGCGTCATCAAGTGGCTGTATGGGTTGCGCCAGGCGCGGGATGCCCCGGCAGCCGAGGGCTAGGCCTCCACTGGGCTCGGCATTTGCCACAGGACAGATCTGAGAGAGGCAGCCGGCCCCTGACCTCTTCCACATCCATTCCCTGGCTTGGGGCAGACCGGAGGTTGCTGCCTTGTGTGAACTTGGTATGGAGGCAGAGGCTCAGAGGCTGGACCAGCATCCGTCTGGCAAGAACTGACCCTGGAGAGAGTTGCCTTTTGACCTTGGGCCACCCACTACCCCTCACGTGTAGGGGTTTTGACATGCGTCCTGCCTGGTTCTCCTCGTGGGTTTGGATTTGGGGCACTTAGCCTTCTCCGCTGAGAGTGAGGGGCCAGAGGATCTTACTAGGCTTACCTAGTGGTTCTGTTTCCTTCTTCCTTGGCCTCTAACCTTTGCTGACTTCCTCTTCCTTTCCCAGTGGGTCCTGGTTCCCTGGGAACTTGCTCTGGGTGGAGGCAGGGCCTTGGCAGCCTGGCCTAGGTGGGTAGACTACAGGAAGGACTGGTGGGAGTCTGTACTGCTCTGACTTCCCTCCCTTTGGTTAATAAACACAAATGTTTGTTTTTCAAGGGCTGGGTCATCAGACTCTTCTGTGTTCACAAGAGGAAGGGGAGGGAGACGTCTTGGGATGGGGCCTTCAGAACTCCATAATTGTTCATCCCAGGATCTGGGAGAGGGGCATGAGTTCAGTGTTTGGCCCGGCCTGAGACTTGAGACCTGAGAGGGGATTCTCATCACCCCCGCCCCCCCCCCCCTCCTGGCTGGCCTACAGGCCTCCTTCATAAAGGAGGAAACTGGGTCTGGCCACAGAGTGAATCTGGATAGAGGCGGTACTGAGGTCTTTCCCCTGCATCAGGAAGGGACCTGCAGGAGAAAAGCTGATGGCTGCATGGATCCTTCCCATCGCTACCCAGTTCCCAAGGGGGCAGGAAGCTCAAAGAGCACAGACCCTGAACTGGAGGTGACAGAGGCTGTAGACTGGGGGTTGGAAGCAGATCTTAGAGGAAGAGGGATTTGGGGTGGTCAGCACAAAACAGGCGGCCTTGCCTCCAACTCTGGGTGACCCGGGATAAGCCAGTCTCCGTCTCTGGGCCTCAGGGGACTGGGGCAAGGGGAAGGATGGCTGGTACTGGGCTTTGAGGTCTCAGCTCCTTCCTGTCTCCCTCCAGGCAGGTTCCCTGCTGGGAGATGCCACCTTGGCTGGTAGGGCAGCCGGGGCTAGGGCCAGGCACGCAAAGAGTGAAAGCCTGGGTGGCCTCTGCCCACGCCCGGGGTGGGAGTGGGGAAGGGCTGGGTGGTGTTTCCTCCCTCAGGCTGTGTCGGCTGCAGCACTCAGAAACAGGAAGCTCTAATGGGGGCCCTGGTGACAGGTTTGATGTAAGTTTTATTTTAAGCATAAAGAGGAGATTTCCGTTGGGCTGTTGACAAACATCCAGGTCAGCCCAGCTGTCTGTCTGTCTGTCTGTCTGACAGTGTACAATCAACCCCCAGGGGATTGGGCTGGGCCTGGGTGGTTCAGGGAAACAAGGGGAAACTGGGTTATAGAGGAGAGTGGTGTTCAAGCTCATGAGAATGGAGTCCAGCCCCTCATGATACAGATGGGGAGACTGAGGCACAGGGAGGGCTATAATCTGCCCACAGGCACTCAGCAGGTCTGACAACGCAGGAGTTGAGCCTCCTGGTCCCCAAGTTAAAGGAGTGATGGGGTCAGGAGGGATAATCTGGGCAGGCTCTGCAGAGGAGATGTCCTTTGAGGTGTCAAGGACTAGCTCCTACAGGCAACCGGGCCAGAATTCTGTGCCACGTAAGTGTTGTCCCTTCCTGTGAGCTGCCAGCATCCCAGAAACCCAAGGGGTGTGTTGGCTGCATTTTAGATCACAGGACTGGTGGAGGATGGGCCGGGAGACCCCTTGTTCCTGGAGGAGGTTGAGTGGTGGGTGCAGACCCTTCACACTCATCCTGTCACTGAACAAGTGACCTTTCCAGGGTCTGTGAACAGGAGGGGTAGTGGCTTGGGGGCTGTCACAGAGAGGGTCTGTACTCCAATCTGGGGTCACACCCCACAGTCAGTGGCATTCTGCCTTCCTGACTCTCCTCTCTTCCCTGTCCTGGGTCCTGGCAGCCTTTCCTGCTGTCACTTTATTGAGCATCTGCTGGGTGCCCAGTAGTGAGTAAGCCAGACATAGGTCCCGCTGTGTTGGGTGGAAGAAAATGGGCAGCTCATCAGCAAACACATGGTCGTATAATGTGGAGCAGTGACTCCTGCCCTAAGACCAGACCTGTTCCCAGAGCTGGGCCGGGGGGAGTCAAGAAGGGCTTTGGGAGGGTCTGTTGGGAAGAGAGCAGGGAGGCATTCTTGGAAGTGGAGAAGGTGTTTCCTGGTCCCTGGTTCCAGGAGGGTTTCCCTCCTGCTAGAATTCTGGAGCCCATCAGCCTCCCCTGTGGGGATCTGGGGAGGGAGTGGGTGAGGGCTTCTGTTGGCCTCAGGGATCTGCGGAAACAGCCTCTCTATTGTTCTGCCTGAAGTCAGAGTGTGAGGGGCAGTGAGCAGCGAGGGCCAGCAGCTGCTGCCCCCTCCCCTGGGGCTGCCTGGCTTCCATAGCAGCGCCTCCAGGCCAGACTGGCCCCAGCTGCCCAGCCCCTAATTAGGCAGAGATGAGATCTGCTCCCAGATCTATTTCCCAGCAGCTAATTATATACACGTGGGCTTGGGAGCCCAGCAATCTGGCTGCTCACGCCTGTCATGAAGGTGTGATGGGCCCCTGGGAAAGGCACCTGTCCCCACCTGCCAGGCCTCAGTGTACCCTTTTGGCAGAGGATGGGAGGTAGCTAGAGGGCCCTATTCTTTTCCCTGGTGAAATGTTCTGGTTCTGCTACAGAGGCATTCAAGGGGACCAGGGAGAGGAGACACCCATCCTGCCTGACACCCTGTGTCCAGGGGGAGCAGGGAGGGATGGAGGAATTAGTCTATAGGGCCCTGACTTTAGATCCCAGGGTAGGGGGGGACATAGGCAAGAGCCTGGTGACAGCTGCCCCCCCCAGATAGACCTGCACATGGACTTAGAGCCGTGTGGGTGTTCTCTGGTCCAAGACGGAACACCCCATTCAGGTTTTTAAAAAAATACTATTTTTCAGATAATGCATTCATATATTTTCCCCAACACTTTATTAAGAAAAATCTCAAACTTAAAGAAAAGTTGAAAGAATGCTATAGCAAATACTTAAATACCTACCTACTGGATGCACAATTCTTCCTATTTTGTTAGATGTGCTCTATCAGCCATCTATCCATCTAACCATCTATCAAGACAACCTATTTTTTTGAAGCTTTTCAAAGTAATTTGCAAACATCAGTATGCTTCCCCTTAAAGGCACTTTGGCATGCATATCATAGAGATCAGTATTTGTTTAAAGTTTTTTTTTTCCCCTCTGTGTGTGTATGTAAAATTTACATCCTGTGAAATGCACAGATCTTAAAGGTACCATTTGCTGAGTTTAGACAAATGCATACTGTTTCCCAAACCCCAGTCAGGATATAGAACAACACCATAACCATGGAAAGTTCCCTCATGTCCCTTCTCTGTCAATTCCTGTCCCTAGCTCATGGATATTTCTATGTATCTGTATAAATTAAGTAGTACTAATAAAAAGCATTTCCTTGCCGTGTCCTTCCCACTCCTGACCCCCAAAACAGCCACATTCAACTCTTTTAACTATTTCTTCTGGTACTTTATTCCGTATTTCTAAGTAACATGCTTTTCCTGTGTTTTTCTGGATTAATTTTAGGCAAATATTGCCTGACTTTCCAGTCTGACGTCTTCACAGTGTCACTTCTGTAGCTTGACTGCCTGGGTTTGAATCCCAGCCCCTCCCCTTCCTGGCCCTATGACCCCAGGCAAGTGACTTAACCTCCTTGTGCTCAGTTTCCTCACTTGTAAAACGAGAGTAATAAGAATATTTAAGTTATTGGATTGTTATGAGGATTTAACATGTAAAGTGCACAAGAATAATTACTCTGGAAGTGGTCAAAAATGTTTCTTTTTATAATTATTATTATCAAGGAAGAGTTAACTTTTCTCAACCTCTTATCCTTTTAATCTATGTTTATCACAATTTTCCATTAAGTGAGTATTTAGTGTTATTTATACTGTAACTATACAAATACTGTTTCCTGCCAAGCCAAATCTCATATGATGGTTACATTTCCTTTCTTGTGAAACTCTTGGTTTTTCCTGGAGTTACTGCCTGCCTTGCTTTTCATTCCTGTGGTTTCCTCATAACCAACCCAACCTTAATTCTCTGACATCCTCAGTGTCCCCATAGTTACACATAGAAGGTAATGTATTAGTTCCAACTTCCTTCCTGAACCCTTCAAGTGCTCTTTAACAACCCCCAACACTTAAAAAAAAAAAAAATGTAGGACCAATTTTCAAAAGAGAATCTCAAGCACAAGTACAATCTGTAATGTAAGCATTTTTGAGCACCCCCTGATGTCCCTGCCAGTGGGTCTCTAAAAGGGATAAAAACTGAGGCTGTGACCCCCACCGCCAGGCCTTTCCATTTACCCACGGGCGGAACCTTTCAGCACTGCCTGCTCACTGTGCCAACCTATGGCTCATTTTGTGCCCTTCACTTTATTCATCCATTTGTTCAACTAAAGTCTGCTGAGTCCTTCACCATACCCTGCACTGTGCTGGGCAGCAATAGGGACATAGCGCTTGGGTATTGTTGACCTACCCATTCCCAGAATGTATTTATATTGACATGTGGGCCTGAATAGTGGTCTGAATAGAGGCATGTGTGGGGTTGGGTGATGGCTGGGAGTGTCTACATGAGACCTATAAGGGGTGTGTCTACGTGGGTGCTGACACATTTTCTATAGGAGGCCATTTATGTACATTTATGTGCACATGTGTATGTGTGTAGGTGTTGTCTACACAGTGTATGTTCACTGGTTATGTGTATCAGTTAGTTTTTGCTGTATAACAAACCACCCTAAACCTAGTGGCCTAAGATAACAATTTATTAGTCCATGATTCTATCAACTGGTAATCCAGCCTGGGCTCAGCTGGGCAGTTCTTCTGGTCTTACCCAAGCCCACTCATGTGGTTGCAGTCAGCTGGTTTAGGAGGGCCTCACCCACATGTCTGACAGTTGGCAGCTGTTTGAGGGGTGCCTCCAGTCACCTCCATGAGGTTCACCTCCATGAGGCTAGCTTGGGTCCATTCACATGGTAATCTTGGAGTTCCACATTGAGCAAGAGAAGACAAGCTTCAATGCACATGAGCTTTTGAAAGACTCTGCTTGTGTTCTGATTACTAATATCCCACCGGCTAGACAAAGTGACGTGGCTGAGTCAGATTCAAGGGGTCAAGAAATAGACTCCATCTCTTAGTCATATTGCAAAAGGGCATGAGGACAAGCATGGAGGTCTGATTGCAGCTGGTTTTCAATTTAGCACAGCCTATGTGTGCCAAGGGGAAGTTCCCAGTTTGGCAATCAGAGAAACCTGGATATCGTGGTGTTGCCACTTACTTGCTATCTGTCCTTGGTCAAGCTGCCTCACCTCTCTGAGCCTCACAAACTGGAGAGAATGGAATGAAAGGAGACAATCTTTATAAAGTGCTTGTGCTATTCATTTGTTCATTAATGCAACACGTATTTGTTAGCACGAGGCACACCCTGGGGACACTGTAGTGAACAAAATGAACCAGAACACCCATCCTTGAAAAGCTTAGTCCTGGTTGCAGACAGACGTTAATTGACCATCCCAATAGTTTTATGGTCACTGAAATTAGGCCCTGGAAGGAAGGAGGGAGTGCTGACTTGGCCAGGGAGGTCTGGAAGCCTGAGCTGTTTGAGCTGAGATATGAAGGATAGGTAGGAGTTAAAGAGAAGAGGGGATAGGAGTGGAAAAAGATTTCAGATTGAAGGAACAGTTTGTGCAAAGGCCCTGTGGTGTGTAGATTCTAGGAACAGAGAGAAGGTGGGTGGGGCTGGACCTGGAGCACAAGGGCCAGACCGTGCAGGGTTATGGGAGCCTTTGAACAGTTCGAGGGTAATCTTGCTAGGGAGGCTGAAATGAAACCCAGAGGTCTAATTATGCTCTACAAGGCCCTCATGACCTAGATTCCTGTTACCCTGCCCACATCCTCTTTACCTCTTCTGCTATAGCCACACTGCCTCCATGATGTTCCAGAAACATACCAGACACATTCCTACCTCAGGCCCTTTGCACTTGCCACTTCCATTGCCAGTGTCTATCCTACCCCAGATATGCACATGATTCAATCTCTTATGTCATTTAGGTCTCTGCTCACATGTCACCTCCTCAGAGAGGCCTTCTCTGGCCCGCCCACTCACCACCCTCCCTACCT